CACTTAATGGAGTCCTAAGAGAAATAGGAAGTAAATGTGTGTGCTGAGTCTGCTATTATGAACTGGACGTCCTTCTGACATTTTACCCACATTTTTAAATAACTTTATTGTTTCCATTTTTGAAATTTTATATCTCAAATATATCTGGAGTTTGTTTTGGTTTATGCACCCTATTATTCCAATATCTATTACTGAATAATCTAGTCTTTCCTCATTGCTTTGAGATACTGCATTTTTCAAATACTAAATTCACATATGTGCACACATGTATTGATTTATTATTCTCTTTTATTATTATCTCTTTATTCTGTATCAGTATTACATTATTTAAATTATTGTAGGTAATTTTTTCAAACTAATCTTGAAATTAGTGCATGTGTGTGTGTGTGTGTGTGTGCACGGCTTTTGTAGACACCATTCCTAATTTCCCCCCTCCTTTGGCAAATTGTTACATTAATTTTCTAAAAGTATAGTTTGGATGCATTATCCTTATTTTTTCATCTTTCCTGGAAATTTGATCATTTGTTAGAATAACCATTTTATTATTATGGCCATTGTATATATTACAATGTGTGTAATAGGTATGTGTAGCATAGGTATGCAGTGATAATCCAGAAACAGGAGAGCGAAAGAGACATAAAGAAAAATTAGAGAGATGGGGATAAAAAGAAGACAGCAGGCAAGATAAAGAACAAGGAACAGAAACAGAGAGATTTAAAAAAATACCAAACATGGATTTAAGAAAATATATTCACTTACTCTGTATAATGAGTTAATTTGCCAAGCTATTTGAAAAATCCTCTTGTGTGTTTCACAACCTTCAAAACTAGTTAAGTTGCGAATGTGTTTTACATTGTATCCTCAAATATTTCAAACTTGACACAGATGGAGCTTAATGGGCTGGACTGCAAAGGCAGGGGAAAATTACCCAAACCACTTCAAGGGTCATCCTTCATAGTAAGAAAAAATACAGAGAAAGGCAGCAATAGGGTCAAGCAGAAAGGGAATATAATAATCCACTTTAGGAAAATATATTCGGTTATGTAAAGCATTAATTAGCTAAACTGTTCTGCATTTCTGATCCATAGATAATAACTCATTTGTGAATGCATATGTATTATATGTTTTATAGTGTACCCTTGAATATTTTACACACAACACACAGATGGTACTTAATGGGCTTGATAAACTGGGGCACAAAGGTAGGAATAAAATGGGGGAAGTTGGAAACATCTTCCAATCTGATTAAAGCTCCAGTTCTCACTTTGGCAGAGAAGAGGTAAAGAGATAGAAAATATCAGAGTTGTATTTAAGATAACCAATTCAGTTAATTGACACATGAATTAATTTGCTAAGTTTTCTAAAAGTCCACTTGTAATTTTCTCCCTCAGAAATAATCTAAACTGTGAATACTCGTGAATATTGCTTTGCCTTTCAGATCCACAGAATGGAAGTAATTTGTGAAAACTATTCGTTACATATTTTATATATTAAATATTTCGCATGATCAGAGATAGGATTAATAGGTAGGAGTTCAGAAGTGTGAGACTGAGATGGGGAAGGGGGAAAACTTTCCAAGCTAATCAAAGTCCAAGTCTCATGAAAAAGAAATCCTCAATGCCTTTCAGTGGGGAGAGTGAAGAAGCGAGGTAGAGATGGACATACACAAGAGAGAGAGAACAAAGAAAGGAAAGGAAGTAAAAAGAAGCAGAGAGAAAGAAAAGAGAAAGGAACTGCAAAGTTGTAGTGAGGAAAACATTTTATCGTTTTGAGTGAGCCTACTTGTGTTTTTCCTGTTCACATAAACAAGCTAGGATGTGAATACACACACAATATGGATGGTGTATTGAACTTCAATGACCAAATGGTGCTTCCTAGGTTTAGGTACAAGAAAGTGGGAACTTGCCTCATTCAGGAATCCTGCCCAAAACAAATGTGAGTGGAGGGAGAGAGGTAAAAACTAAGAAGCTCTGATAAGATGATAAGAGAAGTATTAGAGTGGCCGGATTGCAAGGGTCTTTGGGGACTATTTTGGAGAGGTTGACTTTTATTATTTGAGAGATGATAAACCATTGGAGGGTCTTGAATCGAAAAAAGTCATAAAGGACAAAGTTATGAACTTTGAAGCAACTTGGATGGATTTAGAGTCTATCATACTCAGTGATCTATTTCAGAAACAAAGAGCTGAATACCACATTTCCTCACTTAGAAGCAAACTCTGAACATTTATCATAATACTGTAAGAAAGTTTGGCGGTAGTGGAACACTCCTTGTGGGGAAACACAACATCAGCAGGGGCACCTGATCTCAAACCAAGAAAAGTGGGGACCAAAGGGAGGCCCAAACTTTACCCGTATGATGACCACTTATCCTGAATTGTACCCCACATCTTTGAGGTAAATAAATAAATAAAAAGAGACGAGACAAGACCTGGCTTATGTTTTAATAAGATCATTTTGCATTAAAGAGGGGCAAGGACAGAAGCAAAAGAGAACAGTTAGAAAGCTATGAGAGTGTTCTAAGTAAGAGATGATGGTGGCTTAGACCAGAGTAGTAGCAGTGAAGGTGGTGAGAAGTGGTCAAATCATGCATATGATTCCAAGAAAGAACTGGAAGAGTTTGCTGATTGAGTGGGGAGAGGGAGAGAGAGGAAGGGAGGAACTGAAGGGTGTAGTCAATGATAATGTTACAAATTGTTAAGATTTTTGTTTTGGCCTAAGCACATGAGAGCTACCATTTACTGAAGTAAGGAGATCTGTTGGAGAAACCCAATTTGGAGAAGGAGGGGGAACGGGAAGAGTGAAAGTCAAGATTTGTACTGTTAGATCAAGATGCTTATTAGATTCCCAAGTAGTGGTGTCCAGTAGGTAGCTGCATGTATAAATCTAGAGTTGAGTACAGAACCCTAGGTCTCCTGTAACAAAGTATGGCAAACTGGGCAACTTAAAACAACAGAAATGTGTTACCTCACAGTTCTGGAGCTTTGAAATCTGGAATCAAGGCATCAGCAGGGTTACTTCCTTCTAGAGACCCTGAGGGAGAATCTTGCCCATGCTTCTTCCTAGCTTCTAGTGGTTTCTGGCAGCCCTTGGCTTTCCTTGTCTTGTAGACACATCACTCCAATCTCTGTCTCTGTCATCACATAATTTTCTCCCTGTGTGTATCTCTATCCATCCCTCGCTCCCTACGTCCCTCACCACCTCTTATAAGAATATCAGTCATATTGGATTAAGGCCCATCCTGCTCAGCTATGGCCTCATCTTAAATAGCTGTATCTGCAATGACCTTATTTTCAAATAAGGTCACTTTCTGAGGTACTGGGAGTTAGGAATCCACCATCTTTTTTTGTAAGCTGACCGCATTTTATCCAGTTAACTAACAGAAAGCATTTGGTAGCTAAATGTTTAGATCCTAAAAATAAAACCCAAAAGCCCAGTTCATTCCTGATCACCCAGGAAGAGAGTGATGTGGCAGCTCTGGTCCCGAATGCATGCACAGAGCATTTCTTGAGCAATTCAGCATCCTGAACGTGGCCTACAAAACCCTTGCAGACTTGGCCCCTGCCTACCTCTCTAGGCTCAAATGGATCCCGTCAACCACACTCTGCTGTGCTCTGACCACTTGGATCTTCCTTCTACCTAGAGTTTTCACACTATTCTTTCGGCCTGGAATACTTTCCTCCCTCATCTGGCTGGTTCCTCCTCCAGGTCTCCTCTTACATTTCCCTTTCCCCAGCGTGACTACCTCCTTCATGGTATGCCCCATTCTTCTGCACTTTTGCACACTTACAATTTTTACAATTTTTTTCATCAGAATAACACCTCCATCTGGTAACTACCTAATTCTGAGTAACAGCCCATGGTCCTTTTTCTTCCCACCTTCAATACCATTGCCCAGAGTAGGAATCCACCATATCTTTTTGGAAGACACAACCCAACCCATAACAAGTAGGAGGCCCAAGCAGAAACCAAACAATGGAGAGTTATCAGAGTTTAAGGTATTAAAGACACACGCTGGATGAGAATGTCAAGAGAGTCAGTAAGACAGCAAACAGTACAGGTACAGAGTGCTGACACCCTCCAATGTTTAGAAATTAAAAGGAACAACAAAGGAAACTTGAGAGGAGTGATCAGTAAAGTGAGAAGCAAACCAGAGGAGCCTCATGGCCTAGAAGTTCTGTGAAGAAAGTGATTTCAATAATATGGAAGGCTCAACTATGTAAAATGCACTGACAAATGCAGTAAGATGGGGAATTGTCAAGTGGATTTAACAACATGGAGTAATTATTAGTACCGACCTCACAGAACTGTTAGAAGAACAGAAAGTTAGTATTACAAAATCATTCAGAAAATTTTTTGGCTCATAGTTAGAGTACAGTAAGCGTTGACTCTTACTTTAGAAGTGAAGTAACGTCAGTGAGTCCACGTTCTTCTAGGTAAACTTTTGGTACTAACCGAGTTAAGACCATCAGAACAGCAGAGCATAATGGTTAGAAAGCATAAATTGGGGAGCCAACCTATCTGGGCTTGAATTTGGACTCCACTACCTATTAACTGGGTGATCTAGTGCAAGTTTCTCAATAGCTCTTTGCCTGTTTCTTGATCTATAAGATGAGGGTAACAATAGTACTTACCTCATAGGGTTTTTGTGAAGATTTAATATTTGAATAAATTGAAAGTGCTAAATGAGCACCTATCACTAAGCAAGTGCTGTAGAAGAGATTGTTATTTCTTATTATTATTTAAATGAGAACATTAATTTACTTGAATTAATTTGTGTCAAAATTGTTCTGAGCAAGCTGTATTGGTATACTATTAGCATTTCCCACAAAAACACACAATTTCATGATTATTAAAGATTCTGGTTATGTGGACTTGGGAGGTGCTGGGATGTCTTGTGTTGAATAAAAGATTAAGGAGCTTTGTGAACTGAATCAGGGGCCAACTTGACTTAAAAATATTTTTGTAGCTCCATACTACCTAATTCTACTCTCTTTCTAGGAGAATATGTCGTCATGACAACCCACTTTCATCTCAAGAGAAAAATTGGCTACTTTGTGATCCAGACCTACTTGCCATGTATTATGACTGTCATTCTGTCTCAAGTGTCGTTTTGGCTCAACAGAGAGTCTGTCCCTGCCCGTACGGTCTTTGGTGAGTGTTGATTTATTAAGAATAGGGGAGAGATATTTGCAAAGTCTTATCGTGGACAATCAGAGAAGAGGCGACAAAGGTGGAAGAATGATTCCTGGAGAGAATGGGAGCAATGTCTGAGCCTAACAGTAGTAACTCAATTATTTGTGAGGTTTTAGGCTTAATTCTTAATAAGTGTTGAAGGAGTGTGGATACTGAAATGCTTCCTGTCTCTGTCAGCTTTGCCCCAGGAAGTGGGAAGGGATTGAATCTTCAGTGAAAAAGAGGAATTTAGTGCACAGTATGAAGAAGGTAAAAGACAGGAAACCAGACTAACAATAGAGAAGTGAATTGGGGACTTTTGTGTGTGTGTGTGTGTGTGTGTGTGTGTGTGTGTGTGTGTGTACGAATGTCTGACTTTACTGCTTCTCCTCTTACCTTTTTGAAAGTATGAATTATCTGATAGTCAATAAAGGTTGCACAAAGTTTGAAGGATTTCTCAATAGTACTCACAATCAAAGGCATTTTCTTCAATATGAGCTTACAGATGTGTAGGAAGAGGTTTGCATGTCATTGGCAAACGCTTTTTTAAAATCACAGACTTAAAACGCATAAAACATTTTCTGCCTGATTTCTCACTGTAGGAGATAAATATAATTTCTTTTCTGCTACTAAACTGCCTCCATGGCAGTGGTAACTGTGAAACATATATATATATATATATATATATATATATATATATATATACACACACTAAGGTGTACTAGATATCTACACAGAAGGCATTTCTACCAGTATCCTGAAACTGTACTGGGTAGTGAAATAAATAGTAAATGATATTTCAGAAGAAGCAGCATTGTAGGATAGGTGTAAGAGGAAACAACAATGTAAACAGAGAGTGACCTGTAATGTAGGAAAAAGAAAAAAACAATCATAAGGGTGTGATATCCTGAAAGTCAAGAGAGGAATGTATTTCAAAAAGCAGAGGCTACTTATCTGGGGTGAATTCTACTGTGAGTTCACATCAGATGCAGACAGAAACTGTGTGTTTGGTCAGATGTTATACCTGATTGTTAGTGATCTTGAAAAAACAGTTCCAGTGAAGTGAAGGGAACAGGAGATGTATGTGTGTGGCTTCAAGATGCCCATTTTTGGAAATATAACAAACTAGATACCCTGAAAATTATTTCTCTGAAATATCCTAGAAAACTTGATAAAACATAAAAACCATTATTGTAAGCTAAGTGTTGAGCACAAAAGAAATGAATACTAAGGGGGCACAAAAGCAAGAAGGAACAGAAACTGGAGTGACAATCACATGAACGGTACTGTTGTGGCAGGAAGATAGTGGATGAACTACTGGGCTTGATAAGCAAGAGTTTGAGTTTTAAGGTTATACAAAGAAGGCACTTAGAGCTAAGATTGTGGTAGGCTAACATTCCCCAAATTAGTCCCTGGAACCTGCAAATGTGACCTATAAGACAAAGATAACCTTGCAGTTGTGATTAGGTTAAACTTCTTGAGATGGGGAAATTTTCCTGGATTATCTAGTTGGACCCTAAACACAATTGTGAAGCAGAGGGAGAATCAACTACAGAGAAGGAAGCAGGATGATGTTGGAAGGAAGAATGATTTGGAGATGCTTTACTGTTGGTTTTGAAGAAAGAGGAAGGAGCCCATGAGCCAAGAAATCCAAGTAGTGCAGCTCTAAAAGCTGGAAAAAGCAATGGATTATCCCTCTAGAGCCTTCAGAGGGAGTGCAACCCTGCTGATACCTTGACCTTAGCCCAGTGAAATTGATTTCTGATTTCTAACATCGAGAACTGTAATAATGCACTTATGTTGTTTTGAGCAACTAAATTTATGATAATTTGTTACATAAGCCATAGAATATTAATATAAGGACCTTTCCCATAAGTTCAATAAAAAAGATTTGCTCTCAGTGGAAAAGAGCAAAATAAAAAGACATTTGTCAGTGCAGAGAGACACTAAGAAAGCATGTTTATTTTGGCCTGGGCTTTGTGTGAAGTATGAGATATGAAAATTTATTTTTTAATTCAAACTTTGTCTCGTATTAATTTAGAATTCATATTTACACTGATTGCATTGATGTGAGAACTTGCACATTGAAATGCTAATTTGAAAAGTGATCACAGAATTTTTATGTGAGAACAAAGAGCCAAGAATAGCCAATATATCCTTCTAAAGAAGAACTAAGTGGAGAGACTTGCCCAGCAAGATGCCAAAAATGATTTAAAGCTATGGTAATTTAGACAGTGTGTTACTGGTATAAAGAAAATAAAAATAAATAAATGGACCACTATAGAAAGCCAAAAATCCATGGAAACTTGACTTGCGACAATGATGGCATCACAGATAATTAATTTTAAATTGATCTTTGGCTTTAATATAAAAGCTAAAAATATGCTGCTCTTAGAAGGAAACATAAGATAATATACTTGTATCTTTTAATAAGCAGAATTTTCTTGAGTGTACAAAAAAATAATAACAGCAAACATAACTAAATAATTAGATTTCAAAATTTAAAGTTTCTGCTCTACAAAGGATAACATTAAAAAAATAAAATATATGGCTGGGCACGGGGGCTCACACCTGTAATCCCAGAACTTTGGGAGGCGGAGGCAAGGGGATTGCCTGAACTCGGGAGTTTGAGACCAGCCTGAGCAACATGGGGAGACTTCATCTCTACAGTAAACCAAAAACTTAGCCAGGTGTAGTGGCGCATGCCTATGGTTCCAGCTGCTTGGAAGGCTGAGGCAGAAGGATCGCCTGAGCCCAGCAGGTCAAGGTTGCAGTGGCCACGAGAGTGCCACTGCACTCCAGCCTGGGCAACAGCATCTGACTCAATAAATAAATAAATAAATTAATTAATTAAATATCAGGCTATAGTCTGGGATAAAGCATTCTATATATATACAAATCTAACAAAGAATCTGGATTCCAAAAATATAAAAAGCTCCTACAATTCAATAATACAAATGTAAAGAATGCAGTTTTTAAGAATGGGCAAAACACATGAACAAATATTTCACAAACAAATTTATACAAATGCCCATAAGCATGGGAAAAGATCTTTAACATATATTTTTTTAAATCAGGGAAATGTAAACTAAAACCTCAGGGAGACATCAATTTATACACTAAAATAGCTAAAATTTAAGAGACTGACATGATCAGATACTGGTGAATTTGAGGAGCAATTGAAACTTTTATATACTGCCGGTGAAGAGATGAAATGAAGCAACCACTTTGGAAAAGCAGTTTGACTATTTCTTATAAAGTTAAAAATTAATTCACTCTATAATCTAGGTATTCCATCCATAGGTACATATCCAGATGAAATGAAAATATAAATCTAAAAAAACGACTTGTCCAAGAATGTTCATAACAGCTTTATTCACAAAAACTCCAAACTGTAAAACATCCAAATATATGTACATAAACACATGAATGGGTGAATATATTGTGGTATATTCACATAATATATTAGCAACTGTTGAGTCACAAAACAATATAGATGAATTAGAACCTTACATCAAACTAAAAAGGCCAGGATCACAATAGTATAGAATATATGACTTTATGTGAAATTCTAAAACAGGTGAAGCTAAGCTATGGTGTTAGAGATCAAAGCAGTGGCCTCTTCTGAGGTGAAGGAGTAACAGAAAGTGGGCATGAAGGAACTTGCTGGTGTGGTGAAAATGATTGGGGTAGTAGTTATACAACTGTATACATTTATCCAAACATTTAAAAATGTGCAAACTATTTTGTTTTGTTGTATATAAACTGTATCCCAATTAAAAATACAGACCTATTGGGACTACAGATATTTGAGATATCAGACACAGACTTTCGAATAGCTATGGTAAATATGCTTTAGTAGATGAAGGAAACATGAGAAGTTCCAACATAGAAATGGAAATTAAATGAGAGAGAGACTATTAGAATTGTAGAACTGGAAAATATAGATTAAAACTCAGTGGTTTAGACATAGTTGAATAAAAAATTGATTAACTGGAAGATAGATCAGAAGAAACTATCTAGAAAGACAAAAATTATGAAATGCATAAGAAAAAGAAAAATCATATAATTTATTGAGAAGTTCTACTGTAGATGTAACTGGGATCCTAGAAGGAGAGAAGTGAGAGGATGGTACAGACGTAATTACTAAAGGAATAATTGCTGAACACTGTTCTAATCTGTGAAAGGATTTAAAGCCACAATTACCAAAATAAAGCAAACAAACAAAAACTACCAATCCAAGTAGGATAAATTAAAAGACATACAAACAGGGGACACATCACAGGTAGGCTTCTGAAAACAAGCAAGCAAGCAAAAAACAGAAACAGAGAAAAATCTTTAAAGTATCCTGAAAAAAAGTATTGCTGTTGGGAGCCGGCCACGGAGGCCCACTGAGTGTTAGGGATCAGGGAGAGCCATGGACCCTGAGACCACCAGGACACATTTGGGAGCTGTTGACCCCATTCCCTCCCTCCTTTTCATTTGGCACTGCAACCAGGAAAGGCTCCTGCTGGCTCTAAGAAAAAACTCTGAGACCAAAACATACACAGCTAAACTTGGGAGTCTATTGTTCCCATTTTCCACGGTTTATGGTTTTTGCTTTTAATCAATTTAAGTTTAACTTTGAGTCACATTGAGGAGCCTTAATACAAGTCACAGGTTCTCTTGATGTGATTTAAAAAATTTATAGATATAGGTTTTAAAATATAGTTTATATAGATTAAAAACATTTAGATAACCATTTTGTTCTAAAAGTGTGGTTAGTTCAGTTTGATTCAGAGGGCCAATAAAGTTTAAATTAGGTTTGCTGGTACTAGGAAAGTATAACTATAACAACTATTTTATAGAGACTAGTTTAAATTAACATAAAATAGTAAAAAGTAATATATCATTATGTTAGTTTTGGGTATAAGCATAAAACGATATTATATAATTATAAACAATTTAGGATACATAGAAACTGGATAAAAAACAAAAAG